AAGTCACAATCATAAATAGATTATATGTAAAATAAAAGCCAAGTTTGGAACTCACCTAAAAGAGAGCGAGTGGGTCAAGGCCGCCACAAGTCTTTTAATTATTAAAACTCCGCACTTCTTCTCTAACAATTTACGGGAATGGGGCTTTTTGAATATTCTAGGATTTAATTTTAAACTAAATGCTACAATATAATGCCTAATTCCTTTGGATTCTGAATCGAAATTCATTTTTTTGTTCGCTTAATATTTTGATCAATAATTATTGATAGAATAAATTAATCTCATCGATTAACTATACTTAATGATTTATTCCTTATAATTTACGTAAAGAGTTATAGTTGATGAATATTTGGTTGCCAGCCAATGGTTATCTATGTGAAGAGAAGAATGGAGGTAGAGAGACTAGACATGTAGGTTTGTTAGTAGGCTGACATACTATACATATATAGATGTCCACTATAAGGTTTGATTATGTCTAAAGTCGCGCCAAAAATTGAGGATTATTGACTCTGGAGAACGATATGATAGAGAATGGTTCTGAAGGCTTTGTTTAGAGGGTGGAATCTTCAGGAGTCTTTACAACAGAGATTTGATAGTTTCCGAAGGTTCTTCTTGAGAGGTATAACACATTGTCCCCCTTGGTCAAGGGAATGCTATAAAATGGATTGATCTAAGGCTTATGATGGAAAGTGTAACGATTATCTCTTAATTTTGTTCAATAGCGAAGGCATTTCAATACTTTCATCCTAGAAATAGAGATGATTGATTTCTCTATTTAGAAGAACCCGGTTGATAGGCAAAATTATATCTGCGTTGGCAAAGACATCTCAACACTCACGCTCGAGTGGAGGATAATAATTCTAAGTGGGATGATAAAGGATACCTCTGTAACTCGGCTCTCTTAACTTGAGATGAGGTACATGTCAACAAAAGTTATAGGCATATGTACGTTTGTTGGGCTCATTTGAAGGATCGAGGCTCTTGTAGAGAGTGACACTTCTTGCGGAGGATGACTTCTCTTGCGGAGTATAATATTTTACGCTAATAATAAGGGGATGATGCATGCATCTTGACGCTACGAAGGGTAATAGAGGAACCTTGACTCTTTTGGCCAGTCATTTAATTAAATAATCACTTTGATCATTATTCTTTTTTTTTTTTGGAGTTTTTTGGTCCCAAATATTTTTATTGTGAGACAAAAAGGTCACTATGTGGATGGAATTGTTAGTCAAAAAACAGTTAACGCTCCAAAATAGAGTTTTTACCCTAAAATGAAATGTTTGAGAGCCAAAATGCTCCCAAAAAAATAAGAATTAAAATGACTATTTAGTCAATATTATGAGTTTTTAATCCCAAAATGAAAATTTGAGGTCAAAATACTCCAAGTAAAAAAATAAAAATAAAAATAATAACTTAATCAACGAATTTTTTAGGGTAAAGTACAAAAAAGTCTCCCGATTATAGGATATTGCTTTAGTAAGTCCCTCGACTATTAAAAGTTACAAAATGGTCACCCGACTATTCATTATATTCCAGACTCATCATTTTTTGTTAAAAAATGAATAACATTTTGAGCTAAATATTAACATGTTGACTGTGATATGATAAAATCCGATCTCAGAATTTCAAACGACTATCATGTCTCAGTCATCACGTTAACGTCCAGCTTAAACATCCGTCAATGTTTTAATTGAAAAAGAACGAGTTTGAAACATAATGAATAGTAGTGTGACTATTTTATAACCTTTAATAGTCGAGGGACTTAACAAAGTAACATTCTATAGTCGAAGGACCATTTTGTAGCTTTTAATAGTCTAGGGACTTGATAAAGTAACATCCCGTAGTCGGGGGACCATTTGTATACTTTACCCAGTTTTTTTTTTGACATTATGTTTAATATAAAGCTTAAGTTTCTTTTACTAAAATTTTAGGATTTAGTATCTAAATATATTCCTTAACTAAAAAAGTTTGCTTATTGATGGATTTAAATAGTTGCCAAATTATAAGGAAGCAAAAAAGCGCTTGCCTTTCCCTTTTGTTTGAGTAGAATACATATAATTCATTAAAGCAGTGGTATGCTTTAAATATAATATAGGTGCTTTTTTGGCCACTAGGAACTAGGGCTGAGCAACGAAATCGAGAAAATAAAAAAATCGACACGAATCGAGTAAAACGGTTCGGTTCGGTTTGGTTTTAAACGGTTCAGTTTTCGGTTCGATTTAAAGGTTTTATTTTTTTGATTCGGTTCGGTTCGGGTTTTCCATATGGAACCCATTTGTTCCATATTGAACCGAATAGACAATTTTTGTAAAAAAAATTATAGTTTCAAGTGATTTTTTTATTGAAAAACCGATAAACCGAACCGAATCGAAAAAACCGATTTCGGTTTTTTCGGTTTTTTAACTATTCGGTTTCGATTTCGGTTTAAATATTGAAAACCCGTTTATTTCGGTTCGATTCAATTTTTAGTAAAAAACCAAACCGAATACACCCCTACTGAGAACCCAGTCCCTAAGAAACTTGCTCTAATCTAATTCTATAAATTAATCATAAAATAATATTTGTTTAGATTTAATTAACCCCATGTTGTCCTTATAGTATTACAATCCTTAATGCTTAAGCTTAAGTTGGCAAACAAAACTCATACTTTATTCGTTCTTTTTTGTCTTTATATTGTTCTTTGCTCTGAAAATATGAGAATAAATTATGTATTCGAATTTATTTTAGTTTATTACAAAACTTTCAATTGAAAAATAATAAGAATTCTTCTTTTATTCAGTTTATATTTATAAATATTTAATTTTATTTGATAATTTAATTCGAACTCGAGATATTCGAATATTAATTTGAGTCTTGATTATTAGCAACCCAATTACGTTCCCACGAGCCTAAATGGTACAAAGAAATTGGCCCAACAATCTAAACGGTCCAACAGCGCGTTAACTTTAACTAAACTAAAGACCCAATCCCTAATCATTACAAACTTTATGGGAAGCAGTAAAAATAATAACAAAATAAAAATATCTATTTATGAAGAAAGATAAAAAAAACATTTAACTTAGGGTAAGTTACAAATTTAATATCTAAACTATCCGTTTTTGTCTATTTTAATGCCTGAATTTTCAAAATTTTAAAGATCATATCTAACATTTAGTTTTTTCTTTGTTTTTAGTACCTCACCATTAAAAGTCAATGGATGATTTGCACGTGTCACCCTTTTATAGGTAAATTACATCATTCATCACTTAACTATCTTCTCACTAGAGTATTTTTTTTTTTAAAATTTAATCACTTAAATTTCAAATTACTCCTAATTTAATCACCCTAACTTTTAAATATATTTTTAAATATATATTAAGTAATAATAGAAAATGGCATGTCACAAAAATTATTAATAAAATGAATTAGAGTGATTAAAATTGGAGCAATTTGAAAGTTTAGTAGTTAAATTGGAAGTTTTTAAATTTTAGTACCAAAATAGGAGTGAGAAGATAGTTAGGTGATGAATGATGTAATTTACCCATAAAAAATGCACAGGGTACAAAAATAAAACAAAAACTAAATGTTAGATATGATTTAGAAAAAGTTGAATGGTTACGTACTAAAACGTACAAAAATCAATAGTGTAGGTACTAACACATAATTTATCCTTTAAATTATTTAGAGTATCAATCTAATTAAAATACATATATATCAATTTTTTTGACAAACTTTAAATCTAATTTACTCATACTTATTATTTAACGGGAGAAAAAGAGAGATTCTAATGGTGTGTTTGGTTGGGGGAATGTGAGATTCTCATGGGATTGGAATCCACATTCCCCCAATTGGTTGGCCGGGAATGTTATTCTCGGTAATTTTACAATATCAATAGTAGATTTTTTGGGGTATATTACTGGGAATATCATTACCTCCTTTTCCTTATGTATTGTTGGATTACCGACGCTTTGGACTAAAATGTTCTTAGTTTTTTTTAAATATCATTATTCTGTCATTAAATAATAAAAATTCTACGAAGGTTAAATTACAAATTATCCTTAAACTATTTAGATTTATAAAAAATATCTATAATTAAAATTTTATATGAAGTTCAAGGGTTAAAATAAAATTTTACCCTTTCATTAAACCTTTTTATATTTTTAATTTTGTAAAAAAATTATATAAATTTTATGAATTTAATTTTTTTTAAGGAAAATATATAAATATTTTTCAATTTGTTAAAAAACAAATATATAATAAGGACAATTTGGTCAAATATACATTCCAGTAATCTTTTATTCCTTTAATCAAACACGATAATCTTACATTTATGCTAAATCAACCAAACACAAAATACAACATTCTCAGTAATCCTATTCCCTGATAATTTTTTATTCCCAATGGTAATCTTACATTCCGTGAACCAAACGCACCCTAAAGGGAATGAATGAGAGTATTTCCAATGAATCTAAAACCCATAACTTTAAAAAAAATAAAGAAATTAAATATGAGCAGCTTAATCAATCGATCAAATGTGTTTACTCGAATATATCAACTTAATAATTAAGCAAGCCGTATATTCATATTTCAATAATTTATTTTCCGCATTAGCTTTGAATAATTGAGTTGCAATTCAAATTCATTTACAAATCCCACGCATGGGCTGATGTACTTTGAAGGCTGCATCAATTTAGTGAGTCGATTTTTTTTTTGAACCGGGCCGTTTTCTTTGGGAACTTGAGATTCATAAATCAAGTGGTTGAGAATGTCTTTAGGCTTATGCTATGTAAATAATTAAGATTTGTGGTCCAAAATCGTTCATATTCTTTATGATTTGGGGTAAAATAAATTACATGAAAATCAAAACGAAGACTGGCCATACCAAGTGGGAGTTTCCCATGGATTTGCAACACCACCACCGTGGAATTCGAACCCACTACTACAAGGTTATAAGCCATGCGTTCTACCGATTAAGCTAGACGGGTTTCTGTTGGATGATTTTTAATTTTTATAAAATAATAGGGGGAATAGTCTCTCTCTTCATTGTTTGATTGATGAATGATGTTAAACCAACATTAAGATCAGAATTTTTCGTAGACAAAGACTAGAAAATGGTATAGAATAGCCAAAACTATTGCAGCAATGGCCTGTTGTGTAAGTGAAATAGTCTTTCCCTTTCCCTTTTCTGACTCAACTTCCCTGTTTTCACTGCTTGAAGCCGAGTAAAGCAATGCCATTGATACCGTCTCTTCCTTCTCTCCTCTATGGATTGCCCTACCAATCACATGCTTCAATTCTCCACCACTCAGTGCCTGTTAAAACCAACACCACCGCATCACAAAAATGTTCAAATGAGATGATTCTTTGATCATCGAGATCTAAAGGTTACCTGAATTTGATCTCCGAGTGTAACGACCAAGGTGTGATCATCTGGTTGAAACGACACCCAACCTTTCTTCGAATACACATGAAACCTGGAAGATCCATCACATATATGCATACACAAGGCATGCGAATAATCGATCCCTCGGACCAGCATTTTGATCACATCGTACCATATGTCTCCTGCAACATTTCGACCGTGTTTGTATACGTAACATGCAGAGCCTTTGATCTTTTCGTTTTTGTAATCCGGGTTTTCAGGGTAACTTTCCCGGAAAACAATGAGAATTTTCTCTGCCACTTTCTCCAGGGAGGACACTAGAGTTTCCATTTTCTCACTGGTTGTGTTAAAAACGGTTATTAGAAAATGCGGAAACACAAATGAAATTAAAAAAAAAACTGTTTTTTTTTACCTGAAATTTGAATATCCAACAGGCCAAATTCCCTCCATTTCCAATTCCAGGGATTTAGCTTTACACCACACGAATTCTTCACTCACTTCACCTTCGTCTTCCTCATGAATCTCCTCGAACCCGTATAATTTCTCCGGCGACCTTGTCACTGCCTTCCGTTTCTCAGGTGGCAGTTGGAAAATTCCGGCGGCAGCCGAAAATCCCGATCGGATAGATTCCCCCGGAATCCCATGATTCACAAGCTGAAAACATCCGATTCTTGCAACAGAGTCCAGAATCTTGGGAAGAGTCTCACATACCATCGAATCCAAATCCCGGAAATCAATCTTTGGTGGGTTTTCAATGAACTTCTGCCTGGGGAAGACCTTGTCAGGCAAAACCAAATCAGGGACGCGCTGAGAACGCTCGAGAAATTCGGAGAGAACCTCATCATTGGTGACGGAGGAGCGGCAGCCACTGGCGATGGGAGAAGGCGGAGGAGCACGGAAATCAAAGGGCTTTTCGGGAATGGATGGAGGTGAGACGGCCATTGATGATTAGGTGAAAACCTGATGAGAATTGTGTTGGATGGAGGAGCTTAAGTTGTCAGCTTTGTTAATGGTAGAGGAAGAAAGTGAAGAGAAACACAATGATGGCTTGTCATGGGACATTGAAGACAGTTGGAGAGAATCATCACTCACTTTTGCTTTGTTTTATGAATTATCGTAGCTTTACCCTTTCCCTTTTGTTTTTAATCATTTTCATAGCTAGCAAGCAATGGCCTGGATTATACATAAATAACAATATTTGGCTTTTTACACCTTGCATCACACACCTCTTTGCCTTATTTTTTTGTTTATATAATTTTTGTGATTTTTATCTTTACTTAATGTTATAATTATAAGAAATAAAATAAGTTTATACAATTTAATGAAACTATTTTTTAAGTTTGAAATATTAGTTCAGACATAATGTATTTTTATATAAGATATGAATTCTTTTTCTATATCAAAATGTCTTATTACGAATTGATCAATTATCTTGTGATTTTTTAATATATTTAAAACACTTCGATCGAATATCGATATATAAGTTATTTTAATTGCATTTGATACACGCGAGTTACCGATTAAGACATTTTAAATATATTAAAAATTAATAATTTTATCCTTCCTAGGTTCATCATTTTCCGAATAATTTGCACAATCTTATTTCTTCAGCTTAATAAGGGGAATTGAAAGCTTAAAGTTCATATTTGATAAACGACAATTCTTTCATCATTTGGCCAAGTAAAAAATCAGTTAAATGGTCGGGAAAAAGAGTATTGAATGATTGCATATGAAAACAAAAACAAAAACTGGCTGATTCCATTTTACGAAGTTGCAATTTCCTTTTTACGGTGAATGCTCGATATTCAAGTAATCGTACAAAGTTGAAATTTTTTCATCTCTTTAGTTTTCTGGAATAAATTTTTGGGTAAAGTACACAAATGATCCACCAACTATAAAAAATTATTTTGTTGAGACTCAACTATTAAATATTATAAAATAGTTCTTTACCTATTCATATCTTCTAAACTCATCGTTTTCCATTAAAGAAATGATGATCGTTTGAACTTAGCGTTAACCTGTTAATTGAAATATAATAAAATCAGATCATAGACCACAAGCTTCTGTATTAAACCCACTAGTAGCTAACTGTTGAGCCTTCTACGGCACCAAAACCTTCGTCAAGCATTCGGAGTTTTCATCGTATCTTATATATTAAAATGCAAAAAGTAAAACCAAAGTCGAAGGAACTAAATTATAAGGTGAATGTTGAACACGGGTTTTTATTTCATTAAATGATGTATAACAATCAAATCCCAAAATCTACGTTCATATTAGTCGAAGATAGGTAGCTCCATGGTGATAGGAGAAGAATCAACGATTACATCCTCCTCGGTCTTGTTGAGTATTGGTGGACATGTTTCTCGCAGGTGCGTACCAGTCGATCGATTTTATTTGTACCTTAGGGATAATGTCTATTTTGAGGACTATACCAATTTGAACGATTTTACTTTTAAAGCGGTGATTCTTCCACGACACGGTCGAACATTATTTTATTTTCAGTCAGTGCTAACATTTTATTTTGCATTAGTACATTTATATTTTAAACAATTTAAGAGCAAAATAATTATTGTTGTTGAAATAATGATGAATAAGTTGGTGCATGGCCTCTCCAAGCTCAAACAACTTGATGGTACAAATTGTAGCCGATGATCACAAAGGATAGTCATCTTCTTAGAGAAATCGGATCTCAGATTTTATTTTATTAGATTTAATGAACTTTTTCCCCCTATTATTTTGAATAAATTGTGGAAATTTCGAGATATTAATTTGTGATTAAGACTTGTTAATTAATTGAATGCTTTTACATGAAATGAAAAAGATTAGTTCCAGCCATTTTGTTTTGTAACTACTAACTGCTTCTCTCTAATATCTTCTCTCAAATGTAAACTTAGATGAGTCAAGAACAGACATCAAAATGGAGAAAACAGAGAGGATTAATTCCTGCATTTTCTTCGAATCTCGAATCGTAAGCAAAAGTTTTAGTATTTATTTTTAATTTGTTTTACGTTTACTTTCTATAAATGTTCTCAAATAGTTTGTGATCATAAGCTTGTAGTGCTTTTCTTTTGCTCTCCTATGATATTTTTAAGCTTCTTGATTTTCTTTTGCTACATTTTTTATTCGACTGCTAACTTTGTTACGACTAACATAAGGACGCGTTTGTTTCTCAAGAAAATGTGAACGTAGCGTATTTTTGAAGAGCTTTCTTTTTTCGGTTTTGGCGGTTTTTTCTTGTTTCCTAAGAACTGTTTGGTTAGAAAGTATATGAAAGTAATGCTAACGTTTACTGAATACGGTTTTCTGAATGATTGGAATATTCTGATTGGCGACTAACATCTACTAACCTTATTTGATAATGATGCAACCAGATTTTTTACTTTTCATGCATTACATAATGATGCTGTTGTCTGAAGAATATTAAGCCAGGTTTGAAGTTTAGAAAGCTATAGATGAAGGTGCTTGTGAGAATATGGAGTTAGAAGGACAGAGTATCATGTTGATTTAGCTTCTCAGCAATTTACTATAGCCAGCAACTAATGGAGGAAAGTGTCAGCAAGGGAGCATCGTCATTAAGGCAAGGTGGTTTTAAGTCCAGTTTTTCAGGAAGATCAACTCCAAGTAGCTCCCCTATATTCTGGAGATCGATTTCAAGCGGGACTCCCAGAAGGGAAGCTAGAAATGGTGCTGTTGGCATTCAGTGGTTTAGGAGCAACCGCTCTGTGTACTTGTTGCTTGTGATTGCATTTTGGGCATATCTTGGATTTTATGTACAATCCTGGTGGGCTTATAATCATAAAAAAGAGGAATTTTTTGGTTTAAGTGGTGGTCCAAGAAATAAGCTAGTGGTCGCTGAATGGAACATACAACGAGATCTGCTTGCTGATGATGACAGTTCGGTAGCAGTGGGAAATGGAACTAATGAGCCTCTAGTCCATAGTGATGGAAAGTTTAATGTGATTTTGGCAAAAGGGAATAATATTGCATCCAGGAAGAAAAGAAGTCAAAGAGCAAGGTTTAGTTTGCACAAGACGCATGGTGAACCGGAGGAAACAATGTACATTGAAAATGGTAATGCCGAGAGACAAGAACAGACAGTTCTTCTGAAGAATTCCACTTATGGGTTATTTGTTGGTCCATTTGGGTCATTGGAGGACAGAGTTTTGAAGCGGAGTCCTGAAAAGCGGTCTGGAACATGTGATAGGAAGGGGGACTTTTCTCACGCTGTTAGGTCTAGAATCTTGGTCTTGGTATTTCATGAACTATCCATGACAGGGGCTCCCATTTCAATGATGGAACTGGCAACAGAGCTTTTGAGCTGTGGAGCCACTGTATCTGCTGTTGTTCTAAGTAAGAAGGGAGGACTGATGTCCGAGCTTGCAAGGAGAAGGATCAAAGTCATTGAAGATAGAGCAGATATTAGCTTCAAAACTGCCATGAAGTCAGACCTTGTGATTGCGGGATCAGCAGTCTGTGCTTCATGGATTGGTGAGAAATTTATTGTAAAATTGTTTTATTTTTTTCTTCAAAACTGAGTAATTGCTTCTGCAGATATGAAGATCAGCTATTATTGATTGCTAGGTTGCATAATTTTCCTTTTAGCTGCATAATGCCTTCTCATTCTATAAGAAAGTTGGCATTGTGCCATATCTTGTGTGTAATAATATTTTCATTAAGATTATTGATCCATTTTTATATATATTTGTATATGATAACATGACCCCAAAGGACAGTCGTTCATCGTTCTAGTAATTTTGCAGTATTTCTGTTTATTATCAAGTAAAAATGGCATCGAATATATGTGGTATGCCTCGTTCAGGGATCATTGTCGATTGAAGGGTGCTAGGCTGCTAGCTTTTTGTTCTTAGAAAGTTACACATACCGGTATAGTAAACGATATGCTTGCCTGCAGTTAAGATGCTCCATTATGCCATTTATTTACACTTAATGGCTTGAACTGCGAATAATAATTACCGTACTGCTTGAGATGATAGACTAAACTCTTCCATGGATTTTTCATTGGTTTTTGTCTGCCACTTGAGTTAATGTGTTGGTTTCAGATCAATATATAGATCATTTCCCAGCTGGGGGAAGTCAAATTGCTTGGTGGATTATGGAAAACAGAAGAGAGTACTTTGATCGGTCAAAGCATGTTCTACACCGGGTGAAAATTCTAATTTTCTTGTCCGAATTGCAGAGCAAACAGTGGCTTAACTGGTGTGAAGAAGAAAATATCAAGTTGAGATCTTGGCCTTATATTGTTCCGCTTGCCGTTAACGATGAGCTCGCATTTGTAGCCGGAATCCCTTGTTCTTTAAACACCCCATCTTCTAGCCCGGATAAGATGCTAGAAAAAAGGAAGTTACTGCGAGATGCAGTAAGAAAAGAGATGGGGTTGAAAGATAATGACATGCTTGTCATGTCTCTAAGTAGCATAAATGCTGGAAAGGGCCAACTCTTACTTCTTGAATCAGCAAACCTTATGATTCATCAATATCCTTCGGACACTGATTCTCAAGTTAAAGAATCATTGGATATGAAGCAAGATCAGTCAGCCTTGGAAAGAAAACATCATTTAAGAGGTTTGCTTCGGAAATCAACCAATGCTGATATATCTTCTACAAATTTTCTGTTTGACACCAGAGGAAAGCAGGAACAATCTCTTAAAATCCTCATCGGTTCTGTCGGATCTAAAAGCAATAAGGTACCTTATGTTCAAGCAATTCTAGGATTCTTGTCTCAGCATTCAAAGTTGTCGAAGAACGTACTCTGGACTCCTGCAACCACAAGTGTGTCATCACTATATTCAGCAGCAGATGTTTATGTCATGAACTCCCAGGTGATAGATTGTTCATCTTTCAACCTTATGTTAATTCATCATTCAATCTTATGTTACTCCTTCAAATGTGCATAAAACATGAATGTTTTATTAAAAAGTAGACGATATGATGTGAGATTTATGTGCACAGGGAGTAGGAGAAACATTTGGCAGAGTGACTATTGAAGCAATGGCATTTGGTCTTCCGGTAAGACAAAGTATATTGTCCGATTTTGTTGTTTATTTTAATGGAAAAGTTGGAATTATTGACAAATTGAAGCACATGATACAGGTGCTGGGCACTGATGGCGGGGGCACAAAAGAGATAGTTGAGCAGAATGTGAGTGGGCTATTTCACTCAATGGGGCGTCCAGGGAATCGAGTTCTTGCTGAGAACCTCAGGTATTTGCTGGAAAACCCGACTGCAAGGGAGCAAATGGGTAGGGAAGGACGAAAATTGGTAGAAAAACAGTATCTGAAGCGGCATATGTACGGCAGATTTGTGAAGGTTTTATCCAGGTGTATGAAACCTCAAATTGCCTCATCTAGTACTGCACATTATCGTTCTTTGATTGGCTTTTGAATAATACCAATACTTAAAATTCCATTACTTTGAATCTCGACTCTAATTCTCCGATTTCATGTATCAAATTTCTTCATTTTGTACAACAACATTGGTGCGGTGAGCGTATAACGAACTTCCTAGCTAATAGAATCAATCAAAATGCTTAACCCACAAGAAGTCCAAAATTAAACATGTAACATTGAAGCTGAAGTACAAGAAAATCAATACTTAGACCAAAATCAGTCCAATGGCCCGACAAAAACTGTGCAAGCAACTTCAAGCCCTATTTTTTTTTTGTTGCCCTCCAATTCCAAGACTAACTCAGGTCGCACACCTAATTTTGGTGGGTGAATCTCCTAACAGAGATTTTCTGCATACTCAAATACTCGAATTTGAGACATTGCTTAAGCAATATCAATCTACTTACCACTTAAACCAACCCCGTTGTAACTTCAAGCTCTATTCATGGTCAATCGATTTAGTAATAAGGATTCCATGAGCATCGAGCTAGAAAATTCATGCAAGTTTTCCGGTCTTATTTTGGATTTCAAGGCACAACCTCATCACAAGGGGCAGTCAACCTAGGGCTCTTGTAGGATTACAACCATTTCCAACCTCCAATTCGAACCCCGAAAAGAGAATCCTCTATCCCTCACTTATTAGCTGCAATAAACTATCGAATGAAATATATGATGGAACTAGGGACCGCATAGATCACTTGTCATAGTACAATGCCTATATGGATATTATGAGAACTTCTAGTAAGCTCAAAACATTCAAAAGATATTACCATGTATCAATAGTGTTGGGGAAAACGGGTTATTTCCCACACGAACGTAATTTTAAAATTAACCTAAAATGTTAAGATTAAAACCACCAAAGGTTGCACAGCGGATAAACCTGCCAAACTATTGAATATTGAAACACAATGAAAAAGAACCGAATAAAAAACAATAAAGGAGAGAACACACCAAATTTACGAGGTTCGACGAGAATATCGTCTACTCCTCGGGCACCACACCGGATGATAACTTCACTATATTGCCAATATTACAACAAATGGAATTCTTTGGAATTCCCAAAGTGGGAGAATGAAGAATACAAGAGGAAGAGAGAACTTGTTTTTGGGATTATTTATAATGGAAATACTTAGGCCTATTTGTAGTTGAGTTTCAAGAACAATATGTTCAAAGTTTGGCCACCTACCAAAAAATTTTCCAATGTGTACAAGTTAGCCACCAAATATGAAATTCACATGTTCAAAGTTTGGCCACCAACCAAGATGAAATTTCCAATAAGTTGGCCACCAACCAAGATGAAATTTCCAACTTGTCAACTTAATTTCTAGACAAATCTAACAAATCTCCACCTTGGCTTGAAATTACCAAGCCTACTCAACTTCTTCAACTCCCCAAATTTGTAGTACCTCTAATTGCGCTCACAAGCGCCACACACCCGAAGGTGTTCATACTTTCAGGATGTTAATCAGGTTCAAACAATGATTGAACTTGATTACTATTACCACCTTGGTCATCATATCTGTAGGATTTTCTGATGTCGCAATTTTCTGAAGTAGAATCTTTCATTCTTCAAAGATCTCCCGCACAAAGTGATACCTCACGTCGATATGCTTAGTCCTTGAATGGTAGACTTGATTTTTCGCTAAGTGAATAGCGCTCTGACTGTCACAATAGAGACTAATGTGACTTTGAACAACTCCCAAGTCTTCCATCAACCCGTTAAGCCAAATTGCTTCCTTTACAGCCTCTGAAACTGCCATGTATTCTACCTCTGTAGTAGACAAGGCCACCGTAGATTGCAATGTAGACTTCCAACTTACTGGGGCTTTAGCAAGAGTAAACAAATACCAGTAGTTGATCGACGCTTATCCAAATCACCAGCATAATCGGAATCAACATATCCAACCATACACTGACCAAGTGTTTCATCCTGTTCAAAAACTAAACCAACATCCACAGTTTGTTGGAGATACCGTAGAATCCATTTCACAGCTTGCCAATGTCCTTCTCCAGGATCATGCATGTACCTGCTCACAACTCCAACTGCTTGTGAAATGTCAGGACGCGTACACACCATTACATACATCAAGCTCCCAACTGCATTAGCATATGGAACTTTTGCCATATACACTCATTCTTCGTTAGTTTTAGGAGATAATTGAGAACTAAGTTTCAAATGAGAAGCCAATGGGATACTTACATGTTTGGTATTTTCATTCATGCCAAAACATTGTAATACCTTTCTCAGATACTGCTTCTGTGTTAAACAAAGTTTCTCTCTCTGTCTATCTCTGCTTATCTCCATACCAAGAATCTTCTTGGCCTCACCTAGATCTTTCATCTCAAACTCTTGATTCAACTGAGCCTTTAATTTGTCTATCTCCTTTTGACTCTTCAAAGCGATCAACATATCGTCAACGTACAAGAGAAGATAAATGAAAGATCCATCTTTGAGCTTTTGCAAATACACACAATGATCATATTTGCTTCTAGTATACTTTTGCCTCCTCATAAAGCTATCAAATCGCTTGTACCACTACCTCGGAGATTGCTTCAATCCATATAGCGATTTGTTCAGCTTACAAACCCATTTCTCACAACCACCATCTTTGTATCCTTCTGGCTATGTCATATAGATCTCCTCTTCTAAATTACGTTGCAAGAAAGCCATCTTTACATCAAGTTGAGCTAGCTCCAAATTCAACTGTGCTACCAAGGCCAACAATATTCTAATTGAGGAATGCTTCACAACAGGGGAAAATACTTCATTGTAGTCGATTCCCTCCTTTTGAGCGTAGCCTTTAGCTACCAACCGTGCCTTGTAGCGAACATCTTTCTTGTTATGAGATCCATCTTTCTTTACAAATACCCACTTGCATCCAATGACTCTTTTACCTTTCGGTAATTGTGCCAGTTTCCAAGTGTCGTTCTTTTGGAGAGATTGCATTTCTTCATCCATGGCACTTTTCCACTTATCACTTTCCAACCTTTGTATTGCTTCTTGGTAAGTGATAGGGATATCATCATCAACAATTGGAAGAGCATAGGCCACCATATCAACAAATCGAGTAGGTCTACGAATTTCTCTCCTTGGCCTTGTAACTGCAAGTATTTCTGGTATCTCCAATGGTTCTTGGGTTTGAACCTCTTCATCTTCTGATTCTTCTATTGGAGTTGAAGAATCAGTTGCATCAACTTCTTGGATCATCATCTGCTGAAACTCCACCTGTTTTGGAGTATGCTCCACCTGCTGCGGAGTACTACTTGTCTGGACAGCTTCACTTGTTACCTTCTTTACTAGGGCAGATTCATCAAAGGAAACATCTCTGCTACAAATTATCTTCTTGGTGTCTAAACACCAAAGGCGGAATCCCTTCACTCCATGGGTGATTCCCATAAAGAGAGCCTTCTTTGCTCTCGGATCAAGCTTGGATTCCTTCACATGATAATAAACAGTGGATCCAAATACATGTAAGGAATCATAATCATTAGCAGGTTTTCCAGACCATACCTCCAATGGTGTTTTTCCTCCTATCGCTGATGACGGCAGACGATTAATGAGATGGCCAGCATATGTCACAGCCTCAGCCCAAAATGCCTTGCCTAACCCAGTATTAGACAACATACATCGAACTTTCTCCAATAGTGTTCGATTCATACGCTCTGCCACCCCATTCTGTTATGGTGTATATCTAACAGTGAAGTGTCGAACAATACCATACTCATGGCAAACGTCAAAGAATGGGTCACTTTTATATTCCCCTCCATTGTCCGTCCTAAGACGTTTGATCTTTCTACCAGTCTGGTTCTCGATCATATTTTTCCATTTCAGGAAATTTGAAGCACTTCATCTTTAGACTTCATCGGATACACCCAAACTCTTCTGGAAAATTCATCTACAAAAGTTACAAAATAATGGTTTCCTCCCAAAGACGATGTCTTTGAAGGACCCCATACATCTGAGTGAATATAATCTACAATACCTTTTGTATTATGTATAGTGGTGCCAAACTTCACTCTCTTCTGCTTTCCCAAAACACAATGCTCGCAAAATTTCAATTTGCAAGCCTTTGCACCTTTCAACAATCCTTTCTTTGCCAGAATTTGCAAGGATTTCTCTCCAGCATGTCCCAACCGCATATGCCACAACTGGGTTGCGTCCAAATCATCACCTCCGGAAGCTGCTGCAACTGCTCCAATAATTGTACTACCTTGGTAGTAATACAAATTATTTTTCCTGATGCCCTTCATCATCACAAGTGCGCCATATGTGACTTTTAAAACTCCATCTCTCATAGTGACTACTGAGCCTTTGGATTCTAAGGCTCCCAACGAGATGAGATTTTTCTTCAAACTGGGCACGTATCGGACATCTGTCAGAACTCTGGTTGATCCATCTTGATTCTTCAATCGAATGAAACCTATCCCAACAGTTTTACAGGCATTGTCATTACCCATATAAACAACTCCTGCATTTAGTTCCACTAAATCGGAGAACCACTCCCGATTAGGGGACATATGATAGGTGCAACCTGAATATAATATCCACTCATCGGAATGGAATTTTGTTGATGAAGCAACCAATGATATGTCAGAGTTATGTGCATCATGCTCTGCAACACATGCATCTGGAGCAGATTTTCCTTTCTTCTTCAGCTTCGGACAATCTTTCTTCCAATGGCCTTTCTCATGACAAAAGGCACATTCATCTTTTCCCAGTCTGGACTTCGACTTTGATCTCCCTCTCCACTTTGGCTTTTGACTTTTCGAGCGACCTCTTGCCACCATGGCCTCTGCTGCTTCGTACTTGCTCTCCTTCTTGGTTTTCTTCCTGAGTTCATAACTATACAAAGCAGCATTTATATCTTTTAGGGTAACATTATCCTTACCATGAAGTAACATTGTCTCAAGGTGCTCAAATTCATCTGGAATAGATGACAACAACATCAAAGCCAAATCTTCATCTTTGAAGGTTTCATCCATGCCCAATAAGTCTTC